TAGAGGCAGGCAGGGATTGATCTTTCAGATAGGCGATGATAGGTTGCATCCACAATGGGGTGCCTTCTATCCATAGTACCTCTTCACCTCCGGAGGTGGAGGGCTTTGATAAGTGCTCAATAGGGACAACCTTTAGCAGCTCTGAATCCTTTCTGTTGGCCAGTTTTTGAAAGGGCGTCTGCATGTGTATTTTCTAGACGGGGGACTTGAGTCGGTTCGAACCTTTCAAAATGAGGAACTAGGTCCAGAACCAACTTCAAGTATGCAACCATGCTACTGTCCTTGGCCGCGAAGTTCACATTGACCTGATTCACTATAAGTTGAGAATCGCTGCTCGCCAGGAGCCTTCTGACCTGCATCTCTTTAGCAAGTCTAAGACCTGCCAGAAGGGCCTCATATTCAGCGACGTTGTTCGAGGCTTTGGCAAACTCGATTGGTTCCATTATCGCCTCCATTTCTGGGGCTTTGGCAAACTCAACCATAAAATCAACAAGGGTCTGGCCCTTGATGGCGTGTCGAGGTCGGAACGTTAGATCGAACTCACTGAGCTCAATTGCCCATTTTAGCAGGCGTCCTGACGCGTCTGTTTTCTGCATTACCTGCTTCAGTGGGAAGTTGGTGAGAACTTGAATTGAGTGGGACTGGAAGTACGACCTCAGTTTTCTTGAGGTTGTGATAAGGGCGAGTGCCAGTTTCTCCATGCCTGGGTAGCGTGTTTCAGCTGGGAGAAATGCTTTGCTGACGTAGTACACTGGCAACTGGCACTCACTTTCTTCTTTGACTAGGACGGCGCTGACCGCCATGTTCGAAATCGCTAAGTACAGCAGTAGTGACTCATCCAGTTGAGGTTTTGACAAGAGTGGCGCCTCTCTGAGGTGCTTTTTCAGTGCCTGGAAGGCTTTCTCAGATTCCGAAGTCCATTGGAATTTCTTTCTTTGTTTCAGCACATTGAAGAAAGGCAAGCTTTTATCTTTGGCCCTGGAGATGAAACGACTGAGTGCGGTTACTCGACCATTGAGGCTTTGGACCTCCTTTGATTTCTAAGGTGACCTCATCTCTAATAAGGCCCTTATTTTCACTGGATTTGTTTCAATTCCCCTTTGATTGATAATATATCCCAAGAACTGACCTGATGTCACTCCAAAGGTGCATTTGAGGGGATTCAACTTCATCTTATATTTTCTAAGTATCTGAAAAGTTTGGTCGAGGTGACTGACGTGTTCGGTTGCCCGGAGGCTTTTGACTAACATGTCGTTCACGCCGACCTCCATGGTTTTGCCAATGAGTTCGGCAAACATCATGTTGACCAGCCTCTGATATGTAGCCCCGGCATTCTTCAATCCGAATGGCATGACTTTGTAGCAGTACAGACCCCTGTCCCTAATAAACGATGTAGCTTCTTCATCAGGTCGGAACATGGGTATCTGGTTGTACCTTGAGTATGCATCCATGAAACTCAGAAGTTCGTGTCCAGGAGTGGAATCCACAAGTTGGTCTATCCTTGGAAGCGGGAAGCTGTCTTTAAGACACGCCTACTCAAGTTTGTGAAGTCTACGCACACCCCACTTTTCACTGGGCTTTTTCACCAGAACCGGGTTGGATATCCACTTCAAGTAGATGGCTTTCCTTATGAAACCACTGCTGCTAAGTTTATTCACTTCGTCTTTCAGTGACTCGTACCTATTTGGGTTGAGGGCATGTCTCTTCTGTCGATGGGGGGCACAAGAGGGGTTGATGTTAAGATGATGGCAGCTGATCCTTGGATCTATTCCCACCATGTCTTCATGCTTCCAAGCAAAGACATCCAAGTTCCTTTTCAGCAAGCTTATCATCTCTTCTTTTGTTTCAGGGGATAGCGTCTTCCCTATGCGCAAGACCTGATTGGGGTCTTCTAGGTTGGCGGAGAAAGTTTCCAGTTCTTCCATCGGGGTTGCATTTGGTTCAGATTCAATTATCCGGGGATCTAATTCATCAAGAGAGTGCCCTTGTTCAGGGGCCTCTTCCATGTCGACGTCTTCCTCTTGTTCAGAGGTATGCCCTTGTTCGAGAGCGTTGAGCATTTCCACGTCTGTACTGATTTCAGCGGGAACCTCAGTTAGGATTACATTAACAGTTCGGGGCTCCAACTTTCGCAGCGAGTTTAAGTAGCATGCCCTGGAGCCCATCTGATCGCCTCGGACCGTAGAAATCCCATGTTCAGTTGGGAATTAAATGCACAAGTAGTGGATGGACGTGACGACCCAAAGATCTTTCAAAGCGGGTCTGCCCAATACTCCATGATAGGCCGATCTGTGATCTACCACCAAAAATTTTATGAAATGTTGGGCCACTAGGGGTGCCAAACCCATCTCGACGGGCAAAGTGATCCGCCCTCGTGGGATGATGCTGTCCCCAGTGAATCCGAATAGTGGGTCGGTCATGGGGATCAACCCATGTTCAATTTGCGTTTTGTCAAAGGTGGAGCCGAACAATATGTTCACCGAAGTGCCATTGTTGACGAGCATGCGTTTCAGTCCGTTTCTAGCCACTACGGCTCTTACAACCAAAGCATCACAATGGGGGGGTGAACCCCCTTTGCGTCTTCCTGGGAGAAGGTGATTGGGGCCATCCTATCGACTGCTTGCGACTCGTTGACAATGTAAGTGATCATTGGCAGGTCCTTTGCTTCCCTTGTATAATTCCTTTGGGCATTCCTGGTGTTGCCACCGATATGAGGTCCCCCAATGATGGTATCGATTTCCCTGATGACCTGGCTCCCAGAAAATCGGGCCTGGTTTCTCTGTCTAGATTGACATCGGTCCCTTGATTCTCTTCTCCGAGGTGATTGCTCTTTGTGCCCTCTCTCTCCCCTGCTCGGAGAGGCGGATCTACGAGAATATTTGTTCCTGCTGGAAGGGTGTGGGTTGCTTCGATCAGGGCGTCGATTGGCGTCTCGACACTCACTAGTGTCATGCCCATACAGTTGATGGAAAGTGCAAAACCTTGCTCCTTCCAAGGACCTGTTTGATCGTTTCTTCTTCTTTTTCTTGCTATCGGTTCTTCCAGATGGCCTTGCTTTGCCAGGAGCATTTTCATATATCAATACCGGCACTGCATTTAGAGTGGAAGGAGGTGGGAGCTATTGTGTGACCTGCCTGAGTCCATTGCTAAGTAACAAGGTGTGCTGCGGGTCCTCGACCTATCTGCCTCTGAGGCGAGGGGAGTCCCTGCGCGGCACGGTTTCGGTGATCAATCATTTCTTCACTCACAATTTCCACTAGTTCGTCATAGGTGAAGGGATTCTTGCTGCGCACGTCCCTCCAGAACAAAGTGTTCATGTTGAGCCCGCTTTTCAGGGTTGAAAGGACTTCTCTGTCAGTGAACTGTTCACAGTTGGTGATTTCGTCTGTAAACCTGGGGAAATAGCTTTTCAGCGTCTCCCCAGGAACCTGTCTCGTATCTTGCAGGCGTTGCAATTCAGTTTATGTTTTTATATATTTTAAAAACAAAATAAATTTCTAGTTAAGGAACGATTGCAATTAGTTGAAACCCTTTAGAATTAGGATTACTTATCCTCTATAAATACTCCCCCACAGTAAGTTCTTTAATTGCCAATTTTTTCTCTTCATCACGAATTCTCTCTTTCTAAAATGTCTCTGCTACGTCATCTAGGTTTCTGCACGATGTCGTCCATGGATGCAACTCAAAAGATGATAGTGCTAAAAAGTTCAGATGGCGAGATTTTCGAGTTGGAGGAGACGGCGGCGCTCGAATCGCAGGTTTTTAAAAACATGATCGAGGATGGTTGCGCCGACACCTGTATACCTCTCCCCAACGTTACCTCCGAGATCTTGGCTAAAATTATTGAGTACTGCAAGCGCCATGTCGAAGCCGCCTGCCTTGAGGACCTTAAGAAATTCGATGCCGAGTTCGTCAAAGTCGATCAGAGAACACTTGTTAATCTCATTATGGCTTCGAACTACCTGAACATCAAGAGCTTGCTTGACCTTACATGTCAAACAATGGCGGACATGATCAAGGGGAAGACTCCAGAAGAAATTCGGAAGATATTCGGCATTAAGAATGATTTCACGCCGGAGGAGGAAGAACAAATTCGAAAGGAGAATGCTTGGGCATTCGACGAATGATGAATATATTAATTTTCTGAGGAATTCAATATTTTTGGTTATTACTTAAGATTTTTAGGCGTTCAATAATTTGATTCTGCTTAGTTACAATTTCAATGTTTCTATATTTTCAATGAACTTTTTTCCAATGCGTTATTAATATGAATTTTGTATGCTCTGTTTTAATTTTAATTTATTTTATTTTTCTAAATATAATATTCTCGAATAATAAATATGAAATTGATAATTTACTTTGTCCCAATCGATTAAGAATTTTAATTTTCACAACCTAAAGGTCAAGGATTGATACCTCAATCCCTTCCACTACACCATTTGTTAAAATTGTTCAATCAATTAAAAAAAATAAAAGCATGTTTAATAAAACTTTGTTAAAATTTTAAGCAGCTTTTCAATGGCACGTGTGATTAAAACATAAACTTTAACGAACTTTTTAGCAAAGATAATCTTTATCAAAAAAAATCTGTGCCAAAAATTATTTGACTATTTACTTTTCATTTTTCATTGTCCAAGTAATTAATTTGCTACCTCCTAGTGTTTCTATTTTTCATTTATCGTTTGAGGGCATTAGTCTATCCATCGAGGAACAAAAAAAATTGATTTTGTGATCCTAAACTGTCAAGTGGAAGGGTTGTAACTCAACTGATAAAAAATAACTCTAGCGGATAACTTAAGTCTTTGCATTTTGCATTTCACATTCGATGGATAAAATATAAAAGTAACTCTAGAGACATGAATCTTTGTATTGAGCATCCCGTGTTCACGCATTGTGAGAAATGGTTCTCTTAACCCTACTAGTGTTTAGTGTTATTTGTGTAATTCACAAGGATTGTGCTTTCCCAGTATTTATTATGGACCATTGGATGGAATCGATGGTCGGGATTTAAACTTAATAGATATTTTGTTGCCTTGGCTTGTTAAAGAAGTTTTGGATCATTTACCAAACATATGACTTATCCCACGTTTTTGTAAGAGAGGGCAATGTCTTTAGGTGGGGGGGGGGGTTATTTCAAAAGGAGGCTGGTCTTTATTTTCTCTCTGCTCGACAGAAAACTCTCCTCCATTTTTTGGTTCCTTAAGGTGGCGGTTTGAAGGGGTTCTTTGCCGGTTTTCTCTCTCTCTCTCTCTTGGAAGGTGATTTGCAAGTCGTGGAGGGCTGTTCCTGAGCCTGTAAAATCAGCCATAAGGAGGAGAAGAAGCTGCTGAAAGGAGGAAGCAGAAGCTGTCCAGATTCGGCCATATGGGTTGTGTTATTTCTGGTTTCGTATTTTCTTGGTTTTGCCTTAGAATTTCTTCTATTAATTGATGTTTTGGTTGATTGAACTCCTAGGATCCCCAACAAACTGGTATCAGAGCTAGGAGGAGTGAAATCTGTCCAAAAATCGATCAAAATCGGCAAGGAAATCGCTACTCCATTTTCTGACCGAATTTGAAAAATTCAAATTCCGGCCAAACTATTGACTTTCCGGCGAAATGGAACCTGGACCCATAACCAGCAGATTGAGGCGCTCCTTGTGGTGGGGCGCGTGACCGGCTGCGGTAGCGCGTGGCGGTGCGGCGACGGCGCGTGGCGGACTTCCGGCGAGCTTTTTTCGGGCAGTTTACTTATTTTGACTTCCTGAACGCACTGATGTCGTTTGTTTTCTGTTTCAGGTTTTACAGAAAAAGTTGGACGATTTTGCCCCTGGCTTGATGTCTACCGCAATTAGGTTCAGAAACTTGGTGGTATATTTACTGTTTTTCAACAGTAGTTTGGTAAGATTATTCCAAACTCTCCGTTAGGTTAGGTTTGGTATCCTTACCGGTTTATGCATGGTTATTGCTTGGTTGCTTATTTGTGAATTTTGTTGATTGAATTCTTGTGATTAATTTATAACCTGGAAGCATATTTACCTGCTTTATATACCTGTGTTTCGTGAACGGATTATTTCATTGTTGTGCTTCATTTCTAAAAATTGTTTTTTAACTCGGCACTCAGTTATATATTGATCATCTGGAAAAGAATTTTTCAAAACCTTTTCTGTTGTGTCCACGAGTACAGACCACTCTTTTATAGAATCTATAATGGGTTCGAGGGTCGAATTATTGCAATTCGATGGAAAGGGGGATTACTCGATATGGAAACAGAAAATGAGGGCCATTTTGGTCCAACAGAGAGTTGCTAAAGCTCTTGATGATCCCGCTACATTTAAGTTAAAAGCTAAACCAACTGAAATTGAAGACATAAATGAAATTGCTTACAGTTATATAATTTTGCATCTATCTGACAACATTGTGAGACAAGTTGATAGTGCTAAAACTGCTAGAGCTTTGTGGATTACTTTAGATGCCCTGTTCTTAACTAAAACTTTACCTAACAAAATATACCTGTTGGAGAAGTTGTTTAGTTTTAAGATGGACCCAGGGAAGGATGTCGAGGGGAATTTGAGTGACTTTAGCATAATTGTTAAGAGTCTAGATCATAATGATAAAACATTTGATGATGAGGATTTAGCTGTCATATTGCTAAACTCTTTGCCTGAATCTTACAGAGAAATAAAAAATGCCATAAAATATGGTAGGGACACTCTCGCTCAAGCTATTGTTTCTGATGCTTTAAAATCAAGAGAACTTGAATTAAAAAGAGAGAACATAATTCATTCTCGTGAAGAGAGTCTATTTGTTAGGGGAAGATCTGAAAAGAAAGAATTTAACTTCCATAACAAGAAGGGGAGAGGAAAATCTAAAATGAGATCCAAATCTAAAAATAAAAGCGGTAAGAAATGTTATCACTGTGGAAAGTTAGGACATTTCAAGAAAGACTGCTTTGACTGGAAAAGGAAACAAAAAGACCCGAACAATTCTGATGTTGATAATGCTGCTATTGCTTCTGAATTTAATAGTTTGCATGTCATGAATGTGTTTGAAGAAGAATTTGACCAAAATTGGATTCTTGACACAGGGTGCACTTTTCATATGTGCCCTGATAGGTCTTGGTTTTATAACTATAGGGAGACTGAACCTAGGAAGGTCTACATGGGAGATAATAATTTTCAAAATGTAATTGGAGTTGGTGACATAGCCATTAGGATGTACGATGGGGCCGTCACGCAGCTCAGAAATGTAAGATATGTCCCAAATTTAAAGAGGAACCTATTTCCTTAGGTTCTCTGGAAGATGAGGGATATACCTTCAAGTCTGGTAACAAAATTTTGAAAATTATGAGGGTTCTCTTATAGTTATGAAAGGGCCTAAGAGGAATGGGCTGTACTATCTTGAGGGTAGAACTGAAATACCATTTGATTCTAGCCTTCTTGCTGTAAGTAAAGACAAAACTGAACTTTGGCATAATAGAATGGGTCACATTGGGTTTAAAGGGCTAAAATCTTTAAGTAATCAGAAATTACTTGGAAAAGATGACATTGAAACTATGGAATTCTGTGAAATTTGTGTTTTGGGTAAGTCTCATAAGGTGAGCTTTGAAGCTCGCTCTCATAGGACCAGCAGACCATTGGACTATGTCCATGCTGATCTATGGGGTCCGGAGAAGCACTCCACATTTGGTGAGAGCAAGTACTTCTTGTCCTTAGTGGATGATTACTCAAGAAAAGTTTGGATTTATCCTTTGAAGGCTAAGTCGGAAACTTTTGGGAAATTCAGGATTTGGTTAAAGTCTGTTGAGAATCAGTTAGACAAGAAACTTAAAACGTTAAGAACTGATAATGGGCTTGAATTCTGTAATAGCGAATTTGACAACTTCTGTAAGCAGAAAGGTATAACAAGACACAGAACTGTTAAATACACACCTGAACAAAATGGGGTCGCTGAAAGAATGAACATGACCATAATGAACAAAGTTAGGTGTATGTTGATTAGCTCTGGCCTTGCGAAAGGTTTTTGGGCTGAAGCTGCAAGTACTGCAGCTTATCTGATTAATAGGTCTCCGTCCAGTAGTATAGGGTTTAAGACCCCACAGGAGTTGTGGACGGGAGAGCTTCCAAATCTAGAACACTTGAGGGTGTTTGGATGTGCTGCATATGCACACCAATATGAAGGGAAACTTGAGCCGAGGGCTATCAAGTGTGTGATGTTAGGGTATCCCGAGGGTGTGAAGGGCTATAGGTTATGAGTTTTAGGGGTCCAAGGCATTAAAATTATTAACAGCAGGAATGTAGTCTTTAATGAATCTGAGATGCCATGTCTAAAACAGAAAACCGAAGAAACTAACAAATCTGAAACTGAGAAGAGTATTCAGACTGAGGTGAAGCTGACTAGGCTAAATTCACCTATACCTGGGAATGACGAAAATGACCCTATACATCATGAAAATGAAAATGAAAATGAAAATGAAATTGAAATTGAACCTGAACCTGAAGAGGTGACTGAACTTCAAGATAACATTGAACCAGTTGAAGTCCAAAAGATTAATGATCAGCCACCTAATCAAGATTATCAGCTTACTAGGGATCGGGGAGGAGGCAGATCAGGCCAAATCCTAGATATAAATCCCTAAACTTGACTGATTTTACCTTGGTTTCAGGTGAAGCCCTTGAACAGATAGAACCTGCTAGTTATGAAGAAGCTGTTAATGGAAAATGTTCTGAAAATTGGCTAAAAGCTATGCGGGAAGAAATGGAATCTCTAATGGAGAATAAAACTTGGAAGTTAGTTAACAAACCTAAGGATCATAGGATAGTTCAATGTAAGTGGATTTACAAATTGAAAGAAGGAAATAATCCTAGTGATCCTCCTAGGTATAAGGCCATATTAGTGGCGAAAGGGTTCACTCAAAAGGAGGGGGTTGATTACAATGAGATATTCTCTCCTGTGATAAAGTACAAAACAATCAGATTGGTTCTTGCATTGGCTGTTCAGTACAACTGGGAACTGGAACAACTAGATGTCAAGACTGCTTTCCTACATGGGGAATTGGAAGAGGATATTTACATGAGTCAGCCTCAAGGTTTTGAGGTGAAAGGTAAAACTAACTGTGTGTGCAAATTAGAAAGATCTCTGTATAGACAGTGGTACATAAGGTTCGATACCTATGTACTGAAGATAG